TACAAGCGCCTTAATGAAATCAATATTTTTAAACTAATAAACAACACGATTGCCGTTCAATAAAATTTAATTAATAAAAATTTTAATATATGAAATTCAATATAAGAATGATGGGAAGATTAACATGTTGATTAACAAATTTAAGAGTTTACATTTAAAGCAATTTACATATTGCCGTGTTACAAATTGTGTTTTATCTCGGGCAATTTACCTCTCAATTTTTCCATCGTGTATCTTAATCTTTCATCACACACGCATATTAATTTTGCGCTGACGTATGGATTTCAGTTCCCAATTCGACGATCCATCAACTCTTGATGCATTCGTGGGAATGCGTGGGAATGCACTCGGCATATTCGTCCAGGAATGTTAATTTACGTCTAAAGAATCGGATTCCTGCTCGTACGTTGTTCGAAATTAATTTTGCGGGGGACGCGCGCACATTTTTTTTTTCTCATACAGATTCGCAATATCGTATTTCAAGCGGTTGGCACTATCGCCAAGCTTCCGTACCGAATAGTGCGGGCTGTAATCGCGACGATACGTCCGTTTTATCGCACGTTCTTGTACCGTGGCTAATGACGGAGTAATTTAATCCGCAGAATAGATCAAACCGCTTATTAATAATTACCGTACGTAATAATCTCTTTCCATATTTATTTACCGTCAAATTAGTCACTGAATTTAATATAGACCTAAAAGACAGATTTCATTTTATGAAACCAGTAATTACGAGAGTATTAACGCTAAAAATTTTAAATGGCTAGTTTTTAAATTAATATTTTTTCGATATCAGAGATAGAATTTAAAAATTTTTATATTTTATCAGAATAAAAAAATAATTGATTAAATGTTGAGAATTGAGAAAATCCCAAAATTATATTTTTATTATAAAAAAAGATATTAAATAAAAAAAATAGAAATGATCTTAAATGATGAGTCAGCACTTTTAATGTTAAAATTACATCTATCACAAAAATTTATTTTGTTATTTTTGTTAGTATTGTTATTTCTAATTGATTTGAATAATTAAATTGAATTTGATAATCTGATATGTAACGATCAGATTTTAATGAAAATATATCGAGAACAGAAAGCTAGAGATCACGAAATTGATATCTATATTACATAAGTAGAAAGCTAGTTCGCAAAGTAATAGTTATATTAATGCTTCTTGCCGTGTATTTAGACTAATCGACTGTGTGTATTAAATTTCTGACTTCCCATGCTATTTTATTAGATATTTATCTTCCATAATACGCTGTAACTAATGAACGCGTTTAAATAAACGTTCATATCTGATTTAAAGAAATTTAATAATCTAATATTACCTTTTTACACGATACTATATCTTTATATATTTGTTAATAACAATATATAAACAATTCCTGTTATTATCAATCTGTTATTAACCGTTAATACGAATGTACATGCATATTTATTTTAAATTAAAATTTACTGAAATAATATTATCCGCAATTAATTAATTTTGAATTGTTCAAAATTTCAAACCCTTAATGAAATAAAATTGAGAGGGGGAGGGGGAGGCACATTGAAACCAGCGAGTCCGGTGTCGCTTTCTTTCCCTTCGTGCGAATGTGCTTCGACAACAGCCCAAATGCGTTCCGCTTCTTTTTCTACGCTTCTTTTTCTACGCCGATACAACCGTCGCGATGTTTCCTGTTCTCCATACATAGCCGACGAGCTCCGGAAAGGTGTCGGAGAAAATTATATGCCGTTGAGTAACCGGCGTTCGTCGCGTCCAAAGAGGTCGCGCTCCGAGACTTGCGATGGGCGGGAATTGATAAATAACCAATTTCGCATAATTACATCGAACGATGATTTCATCCTCACGTGAGTTATTCCTTATCCTAGAACGTACCTCCTACGCGCGTCGAATTCCAGAATACGCCCGCTCAGATATTACCCATCATTTGTATTAATATCGTATTACCAATCGATCGATTATTTCTTTCTTGCGATTTTTTTTTCTTAAAATGATTTTTTTTTGTTTTGCTTTGTTTTATGATAATTTATGTACAGTATCTACTAGCTGGAAAAATCTGTAATTTTCAGTCTGAAATTTTTTTCAAGTGATTTTTTTTCTGATTTTTGTCTTTATATTATAATCAGGAGTATACTGAATGAATTTGATAATAATGGACCCATTCACTTTAAATATCAGAACATACTGATTTTATGAGTTTATGATTAATTCAATAGTCAGTGTCGAAAACAATGATTTTATGTTAGGTGCAATTTTATTTAATAATGACGCACATTCATTTTAACAGTTTTATAAAAGTTGAATTTTGTATCGGTTATGCATTATATAATTTTTTTAATTTTTAAAAATAAAAAGTGTCCTTATAGTCCTTATAGTCCTTATAGAGTTTTTTCAAAAATTTTTCAAATTTAATTATTAAACCATCTCTTTATTTAAGGATTAATAAATTTTTATGAATGAAAAATATTCAGGATTTTGTACAATAAATATATATTTAAAAATACATTTATTTTACGTGAAACTTTTAATTAATTTTTTGAAAATTTGGAAACTCATTTTTTTAGATTTGAGGTAGACAACCTATTATAGTTAGGATACACATAAATCTTTATAATAAGATAGATGAAGTGATACAGTCGATACAGCAAATGAACAAAAACGGCAGTAACTCGAACGCGTAACTCGAACACGTAAAGAAGACGAGAAAAAAGATTTATGAAGAAAAGCTGTCGCTAATTACGAGAAGTCGCTTTCTCACGTTGGACTGATCGATCCTACGTCTAATTGTCAGAAAGTTCCTCTCCGCTTTCTAACGAGCGATTTCGTTGAAGGCATCGCAAGCGTTAACTTCATTCCGAACGCATCTAACTGCATGGCGCGTATTTATTAGCGATTCGTCGTTATCGCGTCGTCGATCGACGAAACGTCGATAACGAAACAAGGAATTGCAACTACGAAAATATTCGTTTTATGCACTAGCATTGAATTTTGTCGAAAGCA